GTGCAGCTGTTTTTTATTTCAGGGAGACAGCAGGGGAGGGGGCTCAGTCCTTCTTGGCAGCAGCTTTCCTCATGGCGGCCAGGACATTGCTCAGCTCCTCCCGCTTCCTCTTGGCCCGGATGTGTGTCCCCACCCTTTTCTTGATGAACTTGAGGGCCCGTTTGTCCTTGGAGACCTGCTTTTTTTTTTTCCTGATTACTTTACTGAGATATAATTCAAATGCCATATAATTCATCCATTTAAAGTATACAGTTCAGTAGTTCTTAGTATATTCACAGATATGTACAACCATCACCACAGTCAATTTTAGAACATGATCACCACCTCAAAAAATAATCCCTTAACTTTTAGCTGTCACTACCCCTACCTTAGCTGCGATCCTCTACCCTCAATGCTAAGGTACCACTGTTTGCTTTTTGTTACTGTAGATTTCCCTATAATGGCCTTTCATATGAATGGAATCTTAGAATTTGCAATCATTTCACAGATGTATATATATTGTAGTCATCACAGCAATCAAAATACAGAACTCTTTCAGCACCGCAAAAGGTGCTTGGCCCCTTTCCAGCCAGAGTTCCCCTCCCCACTCCTAGCCCTAGGCAGCCATTGATCTGTTTTCTGTCACTATGGTTGTTCAATTTTAAAATATTCAACAAAGTATAAAATGTTCTCTACATTAAAAAGCATGTAATTGGCAAAATGGCAGAATAAATAGAAAATGTATTGTATCATTTGTTTGTAAAGCTTAAGGAATTTAAGGGATTTTAATTTTAAAAGCTTTTTTAAATTATAAGATATGATTAAAAATGTTTAATTATCAACTAATATTTAAAATAATTTGTATTAACACTGTACTTGTGCATATTTTGGTGATACTGGTTTACTTTCATTGTCATGTTACAATTTCATTACAGATTAAAAGACCTTACTTTCATGTGAAACCTTTGGAAAAGGCACAACTGAAAAACTGGAAAGAATACTTAGAATTTGAAATTGAAAATGGGACACATGAACGAGTTGTGGTTCTCTTTGAAAGATGTGTCATATCATGTGCCCTTTATGAGGAGTTTTGGATTAAGGTAAGAAAATCATGTGCTCTTAAACTTGAATATATTATAAACATTGATCTAGTGACTAACCTTTTTTGTACTTCTGTTGAATGTTGTTCATATAACTATATCTGTTGCATTAGGAGATGGTCTGCTTGCAACCAGATTTGACTGCTGCATATGCCAACCTCGTTGCCTCTCTTCGTCCTTCCTTACAGAAACTAGTCTAGTGGTTCAATAAAGGTGCTGAATGGGTTTAAAAATAGAATTTTATCGTTCTGTCACAAATTTAATGGCTTGTTCAACTGTAAATTATTCAGTATTTCCTCTTTTCTGTATGTAGTATGCCAAGTACATGGAAAACCATAGCATTGAAGGAGTGAGGCATGTCTTCAGCAGAGCTTGTACTATACATCTCCCAAAGAAACCCATGGTGCATATGCTTTGGGCAGCTTTTGAGGAACAGCAGGGTAAGAGTAGAGAAATTCAGTTGATATTTTTGAGATTTCTAAGTTATTTCAGGATACAGTGAGGAATTGGGTGGTAAGGGATGGTGTAAAGCAGAGTGTGGCAAACTTTTTCTCTCAAAGGCCAGATAGTAGATATTTTAGGCTTTGTAAGCCATGTGTTCTTTTAGACTTTGTAAGCCATTGTTGCCTCTGCCTCAGAGCAGCCATAGACAGTATGTAAATATGCATGGTTGTTTCCCATTAGTTGCTGAATTTAGCCCATGGGTGATTGTTTGCCAGTATCTGGTATAAACATTATTTTATAAGTTTAAGCAGAAGGATGAACGTGTTAATTACTGTTTCTAGGTAATATTAATGAAGCCAGGAATATCTTGAGAACATTTGAAGAATGTGTTTTAGGATTGGCAATGGTTCGTTTACGAAGAGTAAGTTTAGAACGACGGCATGGAAATCTGGAAGAAGCTGAACATTTGCTTCAGGATGCCATTAAGAATGCCAAATCAAATAATGAATCTTCATTTTATGCTGTCAAACTAGCCCGGCATTTATTCAAAATACAGAAAAACCTTCCAAAATCAAGAAAGGTACTTTTGGAAGCAATTGAAAGAGACAAAGTACGTATTTGTTTTTTTAAAGTATCTTGTAAAAAAACCAGTGGTCAGTTTATTTTCACTGTGGCAACTGTGATGAAAGATTTGGTCTGTATGTATTTTATTACTAAATGAGGACAACAGTCCCTCTAAACTGATGTTGCCATTAAAAAAAATTTTTTTTAATTGTTTTGAATTAAAAGTTTTAGACATTAAGATTATTGGGTTAAAAAGTGTTATAGACATTGTGATGCTTTCTATTTTCCCTTTAGAAATTAACAAATTTACTGTTTATTAAGTAGAACAGAGGGCTTAGGAGAGCACTTTATAAACAAAAGCATAGGTGTTTCCTGTGTTGTAAGCACATTTAGCAGTGAGATGATTTTGCTTCTCCACGGAGTACTTTTTATATATCAGCTGGTAAAAGGCAATGTATAGGTAATAGATAATCTCTCAAGTTTTAGAATTTTAGGTTTTTGTTTTGTTTTATTTTGAGATGGAGTCTCACTCTGTTGCCAGATTGGAGTGCAGTGGCTCGGCTCACTGTAAACTCCGCCTCCCAGGTTCAGGTGATTCTCCTGCTTCAGCCTCCTGAGTAGCAGGGACTGCAGGCGTGCACTACCATGCCCAGCTAATCTTTGTATTTTTAGTAGAGACAGGGTTTCACTATGATCTGCCTGTGTTGGCCTCCCAAAGTGCTGGGATTACAGGCATGAGCCACCATGCCTGGCCAGTATTTTAGTTATTGCCAGGTCTGTTTAACATACAGATTTATAGCAGTTTGCTTCTAGCTGCAGTTTAAGATGTTTATCTTTTATCTTTTTTTTTTTTTTTTGAGACGAAGTCTCGCTTTGACGCCCAGGCTGGAGTGCAGTGGCTGATCTTGGCTCACTTTCAACCTCCACCTTCTACGTTCAAGCAATTCTCCAGCCTCAGCCTCCGGAGTAGCTGGGGATTTCAGGCATGCACCACCATGTCTAGCCAATTTTTGTATTTTTAGTGATGGGGTTTCACCATGTTGGCCAGGCTGATTTCAAACTCCTTGACCTCAGGCAATCCTCCTGCCTTAGCCGCCCAAAGTGCTGGGATTACAAGCATGAACCACTGTGCCTGGCCTTTTTTTCTTTTTCTTTTTTTTTTTTTTTTGAAGATACAGTCTCACTGTCACCTAGGCTGGAGTCAAGTGGAGTGATCTCGACTCACTGCAGCCCCCACCTCCCGGGTTCAAGCCATTCTGCCTCAGCCTCCCGAGTAGCTGGGATTAAAGGTTTGCACCAGCCAGACTCAGTGGCTCACGCCTGTAATCCCAGCACTTGAGGAGGCTGAGACGGGCGGATCACGAGGTCTGGAGTTTGACACCAGCCTGGCCAACATGGTGAAATCCTGTCTCTACTAAAAATACAAAAATCAGCCAGGCGTGGTGGTGGACACCTGTAATCCCAGCTACCCGGGAGGCCAAGGCAGAAGAATCGTTTGAAACTGGAAGGTGGAGGTTGCAGTGAGCAGAGATCGCACCACTGCACTCCAACCTGGGCAACAGAGCAAGACTCCCTTTTTTTTTTTTTTTTTTTTGAAAAAAGGGTGTGCACTGTCACTCCAGCTAATTTTTGTATTTTTAGCAGAGATGTTTTACCACATTGGCCAGGCTGGTCTTGGCCTTAAGTCTTTCTTGGCCTCCCAAGGTGCTGGGATTACAGGCATGAGCCACCATGCCCAGTTAAGATGTTAATCTATAGTTGTAGTAAAGATTTAAATTATTTGAAGCATAGGGATAATTTTTTTATGTTTTATTTTCTAATTGTCATGGTAGGTCAAGTCATATTAAACCCAAGATAGGATATAGAGTTTTAATTTATTGGCATTTAACAATTTGCATAGTTTAGGAGATGCTAGGATGATTGATTGGTTGAAAAATTCATCAATGTGTTAATAAATTTTTCACCCTTCTAGATATATGCTGAAAATATTTAGCATGAGTTGTATTTTAATATAATTTTCAATTTTTTTCTAATTGAGATATAAAAATTGAGGCATTTTTAATATCTTTGTTCTAATAAAAATATTTTAGAAATATTAATTGATGCTGCTTTTTACACAGGAGAACACAAAGTTATACCTCAATTTACTTGAAATGGAATACAGTGGTGACCTCAAACAAAATGAAGAAAATATCCTAAGTTGTTTTGACAAAGCTGTACATGGTTCATTACCTATTAAAATGAGAATCACATTTTCTCAGAGAAAAGTGGAATTTCTTGAAGATTTTGGTTCCGATGTCAATAAGTAAGATCTTAATTATATTATCTATTTGAATGAGAAATGAGCATTGATATTTTTGGATGGGGATTTGATGATTAGTACAGATTAATACATTGTTAAATTTTAAAATGTTCACTTAGTTTACTTTTTCCTCAGATATATATGGGGGTAAGTTCAGTTTTGTAAATGTGTATGTACTTGACAGGAAGAGGCATATGGTTTGTTTTTCCTTCCAACATTTTTCCCAATTTTAGAATGTCAACTTAAACCATGACTGAATGAGAGAAGGCAGCAAGGAGCAATCCTGTGAAAAGGGAAATGGGATAAGGATTGAATCCTGCAACCCAAACATTTAATATATAGATCAATAAGGATGGATGAGACTAATTTCCAGTAGGAGTGCTATTTTCTGAGATTGGAGATGAGAATGGATATGGTCCCACAGAACATGCCTAGTGGCCGCATCTTCCTTCATTGTAAAAGGCTGAAAGTTGAGGATGTTCAAAGGGAATGCTCCAGTGGGTTTTAGTTTACTAAGAGTACAAATACTGGCTAGAGCGTTTCTGAGGTTCCAGTCTTACCTGATTCTAGTAAGGAAATATACCAGTAATAGCTTCATTTAGCTATTACTGGATTCTGACAAGCCTAGCAGAGGATACAGTGGCGGAAGCAAGTTGAAGCTCATGTAAAAGTAACATCTGCTTTGCAGGTTTTTGTGAAGTAGTGGAAGTATGATCTTGCCTGTGTTGTGCATTGAAAGCTAGACTGAATTGAGAGCACATAGAGTAGGCAGTTGACAGTTGCTAGCTATTGGAATCTTGACCAGTGAAATTAAATGACATTATTTTAATTTGGCAAAAATAGGCAGACAAATTGGAGATTCAACACAAGTGTGTTATTTAATCCATTGTAACTATAGGGAATGGGGTGTCTGATTATGAGGACTATGATTTTAGTAGTAGAAATTTTGAAAATAAAGGAGCCACTTAGAAATTTACTTGGGCAGTTTCTGAAGTAAAAACAACTTTAATTATTAAATAATAGGTTAGTTTTTGTTCATTCCAGAGGATTTTTTTTTTCTTCCCTTTCAGGCTTCTGAATGCTTATGATGAACATCAGACACTCTTAAAAGAACAGGATTCTTTAAAAAGGAAAGCCGAAAATGGGTATGTAAGTTTTTGCTAAATTAAGAAGGGGTACTTCATTATGGAAATGCCTTCAAAGACAAATGTTTTTAAGTGTTATTTTTATGTTGTAATTTACATACTTTATTTTCGTGATTTGAAAAAGTCATGAGTGGTTCAAAATTTCAGCAAAACAAATGAACAGATAACATTCATCTATTCGTTAAAGTTCTTATTTGTGGGAGTTTTGAAAGTTTCCATTTTGACATTTTTTTTATAGATCAGAAGAACCAGAGGAAAAGAAAGCACATACAGAAGATACAACTTCATCATCTACACAGATGATTGATGGTGATTTACAGGCAAATCAAGCTGTATATAATTATAGTGCCTGGTATCAAGTGAGTCTGCATAATTATAATTCTTGTTCATAGATGTTATTAGCATAAATTAGGATAGTTTCTTTTTTTAGAAAATGTTTTTTTTCCAATTCATTAATACATTCTTTGGTGGTGAAGTACTAGAATTTTAGCAGTGAACACTTGTTTTCTTAAACATACCTGCTTTAATTATACTTTTACACATGGAACTGCCACAGTTGTAATATGCTAACATATACTTACTTTTTCCTTTCAGTACAATTATCAGAATCCTTGGAATTATGGACAGTATTATCCTCCCCCTCCAACCTGATGGGAATATAAATTTCAAATGGAGTGTGTGAAAAATATGAAATTATTATTTTTTTTAATGAGGGATGTAAACAGTATAAACTTGTTGTATTTGATAACTTGTCTTCCTTGTTTCGGTGTAACACGATTTGTTTAGTAATAGGGGAAAAATGTCAATTAGTAGCTTACCACAGATACTATTTCCTACCATTTATAAAATTTACTTTTTATTGAAGAACTATTTTTTGATTTTTGCATTAAGTGGTCTAGAATTCTTTTGCAATGCATTTGCAACAGAATTTTGTAGCCTTAAGGGGTAGGAAGAAAAGCCTGACTGCAAATCATGTCAGTGTAGTACAAAATTCTGAAAACACATAAGGGCTGGTTATTAAGGATTTACCTCCTTTAAAAAAAAAAAAAAGGATTTTTAACCTTTGCTGACAGGTTTTGTCTGTTTCAGTTATACTTGTGAACTGTGATCTAACTGCAGAAAGGATACATTATTAAAATTCTATGCCTTGGAATAGATTATAAATGAGAAAATGGAATGTTTGCATCCCTTTTAAAAAAAAAATCATATCAAAAGTATGTTGTTTCAGGAGACTTTGTATTTAGAATATTCATGTAAAACTTGTGAACAAGCTTTCATTTTGATCAAACTGATCATCTTCATTTTTGTAATAAAACTGAAGACTCATCCAGTAATTGTTTATGAATTTATTTGGGGGGAATAAATTAGTAATATTAATTTTATGTTTACCTTTATTAGTGGCTCATAGGTTTTTGAAGTACACTTCTCCTAAATTAAGGTATTATCTTCCTGCCATGATGTTTTAGACCTTAAAGCATTTTGTTTACCCTCAAGCCCTATGCTTTTGTCTTATTATACAGGCAATCTGTCCAGATAATTTTATTGGGAGTTACTCCCTGGTTTGATGAGGTCCATAGTTTCAGTTACTTAATCAGAAAAATTAATATATTAACACCAAACAAATCAGTCAAATCAAGACACTGGATAAATTTTTATTGAGCCACTTCGTTTACAACATGAGGTAAAAGGAGTTTTCCTTGACCAGTATTTTACATAGCCGTAGGAAGGTATTTTAGACTTCAGGGATTCATAAGGGATTACATCTCTCAAAAGTTGGGATCAAGTAAACAAATTTTATTAACTCCTTGAATTTTCCAGTTGACTCTTCCCTTAACAATAGTAACAAGTTCTAACTAGTTATGTAAGTTTCTTCAAGGCCAAGTCTTGTCATTGTTGCTGATATCCTTAGAGCTGAAGCACTGCTATTTCAATCAATATCCACTAGTTCCACTTCAAAAATGAGTTTTGCATTTGGTGGAATTCTGTTGAAGAAGTCAAGGTACATTTGATAAAAAGTGCCTCTCCCCTACCCCCAAAATCTTAGTGTAAAATTATAATTATGTATTCTCGATATTAGTAACTAATCCCAAAGGGAAACGCTTTGAAGCCGATTCAGCGGCTAATACATAACTAGCCTAGAGGTTCCTAAAAGTATTTTTTTTTTTTTTTTGGTTGAGATGGAGTCTTGCTCTGTCACCAGGCTGGAGTGCAGTGGCGCAATCTCTGCTCACTGCAGCCTCCGCCTCCTGGGTTCTAGCGATTCTTCTGCCTCAGCCTCCCAAGTAGCTGGTACCACAGGCATGTGCCACCACGCCTGGCTAATTTTTCTGTATTTTTAGTAGAGACCGGTTTCACCATGTTGACCAGGATGGTCTCGATCTCTTGACCTCATGATCCGCCCACCTCGGCCTCCTGAAGTGCTGGGATTACAGGTGTGAGCCACCACGCCTGGCCCCTAAAAGTATTTTTCATGATAAACGGAGATCATAATCTATCAGGATAGGCTGATTAGAGAGGCTCACTAGATAAATTTAGCTTGGACTAGGATCATCCTTACCTGGATGCTTTACAAGTACTCCTAAATTAGCCACCACTTAATTAAGACTATCAAGTACTAAAAACAACAAAAAAAAGTAATATCATTCTAGCTGGGAAAAAAATATGCTGTATTAAAGTTTTTATGAGGTAGTACGTAACTTTTACTGTGCATTTTAAGATGCTAAGTTCAAGGCCAGGTGCAGTGGCTCATGCCTGTAATCCTAACACTTTAAGAGACTGAGGTGGGTGGATCACCTGAGGTCTGGAGTTCGTGACTAGCCTGGCTAACACGGTGAAACCTCATCTCTACTAAAAATACAAAAATGAGCCAGGTGTGGTGGTGCATGCCTGTAGTCCCTAAGCTACTAGGGAGGCCGAGGCAGGAGAATTGCTTGAGCTTGGGAGGTGGAGGTTGCAGCAAGCCAAGATTGTGCTGCCACACTCCAGCCTGGTTGAGAGTGAGACCCCAGCTCAAAAAATGCTAACTTCAGAGTTATATAATTTGTATGAGCTTCAGATTGGTCTTCGAGTCCTTCTTCACATGGGAGAGGGAGCAGCAGCTGGCCATTTGAATTTTTTTTTTTTCAGACAGTCTTACTCTTGCGCTCAGGCTGGAGTGCAGTCACACAATCACTCTGCTTCCCAGGTTCAAGTGATTCTCCTGCTTCAGCCTCCAGGGTAGCTAGGATTACAGGCATGTATTACCACGCCTGGCTGATTTTTGTATTTTTAGTAGAGACTAGGTTTCGCCATGTTGCCCAGACTGGTCTCAAACTCCTGACCTCAGGTGATCCGCCCTCCTTGGCCTCCCAAAGTGATGGGATTACAGGTGTGAGCTACCTCGCCCATCCTGGCCATTTGATTTTGAAAAGCTAAGGGAGCTGTTATATTCCCAAATATGTTTATCTGATAAGATAACAGAATGCTGCCTTCCAAAAGTATTGTTTTATCAAACTTAAAATCTAACAGGTCCAAGGGCAATGGAACCAACAAAAGCCATCAATTACCTCCCCTCTTACCAATCGATTGGTCTGGTCTTAATGGTCTAGAGTCATTCCTTGTCTTTTTTTTTTTTTTTTTTGGAGACGGAGTTTCGCTCGTTACCCAGGCTGGAGTGCAATGGCACGATCTCAGCTCACCGCAACCTCCGCCTCCTGGGTTCAAGCAATTCTCCTGCCTCCTGGGTTCAAGCAATTCTCGTGCCTCAGCCTCCTGGGTAGCTGGGACTACAGGCACGCGCCACCATGCCCAGCTAATTTTTTGTAGTTTTAGTAGAGATGGGGTTTCACCATGTTGACCAGGATGGTCTCGATCTCTTGACCTCGTGATCCACCCGCCTCGGCCTCCCAAAGTGCTGGGATTACAAGCGTGAGCCACCGCATCCGGCTCCTTGTTTTTTTTGTTTTTTTTCTTTTTTTGAGACGGAGTTTCACTCATGTTACCCAGGGTGGAGTGCAATGGCACGATCTCGGCTCACCGCAACCTCCGCCTCCTGGGTTCAGGCAATTCTCCTGCCTCAGCCTCCTGAGTAGCTGGGATTACAGGCACGCACCACCATGCCCAGCTAATTTTTTGTATTTTTAGTAGAGACGGGGTTTCACCATGTTGACCAGGATGGTCTCGATCTCTTGACCTCGTGATCCACCCGCCTCGGCCTCCCAAAGTGCTGGGATTACAGGCTTGAGCCACCGCGCCCGGCACCTTGTTTTTTTTAACGTTCACAAACTGGACTTCTCAGTGAGTATTGTCGTTAATAGTAATAATAAATGGTTACACTAACAGTGTTGATTCTATGATCTTCTTCAGTTCACAACTGGTAATCTTCCACATCTATTCTATTTCTAAGCGTTGAATTTAATTGCCTGAAATTAAACTGTACCATAAAATTACCATGAGCCATATTTGCACCCTAGTTTGCTACAGTTTGTACTGGCATTGTAACTTCTTAAACTCTTAAAAACATTAGTAATTGCCTTTTAAGTTTAAACTTCGCAGTTAAGGTCTTGAAAGTTAAGAATTTGAATAAGAGAAAAAAAAGATTCTAGCTGAAGTTTGAACTTTATCCCAAGAGAAAATACTGTTGTCTATTGGAAATGCTGACACATAAGCATCTAAATGTCAGGAAAACTAGTTTGGACAGGATTCTTCATCTAGAAGTTCACCTAGACAGTGTCTTTCACATCTTCATGTGATCCTGAGATTATTTTTTTCCCTTTAATTATGAGGGGAAAAAAGGATACTTGGCATCAGGCTGTCCTTTCTTTCCATAAGCCCATTCTGGTTCAATCTCCAGTCGAGCCTTTTCTCCTTTACTCATAGTCAAGAGAGCTTCATCCCACTAAAGGCAAGAACAAAATAAAAACTAATGGTATTTTGCAAAAAGCACATGCAATACTATGACAGTCAACACAAGATTGTATGCTAAAACAAACACAGAATCTATTACTGGATTTCACTATATTCTAAGGTAATGTACTTCAGTGAGTCCCTAAATCTTTGTCTTCCATTTCTTCAATAGAACAAAATAAGGGTATTTTAAGGAGGGCTTTTTTTAATGTTAAAAGAACTTTTTGGGGCCAACTGTGGTGGCTCACATCTATAATCCCAGCACTTTGGGAGGCTGAGGCAGGCGGATCACTTGAGGTCAAGAGTTCAAGACGAGCCTAGCTAACATAGTGAAACCCCATCTCTACTAAAAATACAAAAATTAGCGGGGTGTGTGTGGTGGGGGGTGCCTGTAATCCCAGCTACTTGGGAGGCTGAGGCAGGAGAATCACTTGAACCCAGGTGGCAGAGGTTGCAGGGTGCTGGAATTGTGCCACTGCACTCCAGCTTGGGCAACAGAGTGAGACTCTGTCTCACAAAAAAAAAAAGAAAAGAACTTTTTGTAAACCTTAACATGCCATACATTATTAAAACCAGTTTGCTACTGGCATCATCATAAAAAAATCTGCTACACTTTTACATTACAGGACAAACTTGAGAGTTTATTTTTACTGGAATATACTGGCAAGTATTCAACTAAATTTGTCTTAAGATTACCACATTGTAATAGTAGAGTCATGTTGTTACATAAAATACAATTTTTAAAATGTTAGGGCACTAGGGTCTTTTGCAAAAGGTAAAACTAACTTTTCAAAGAAATTCAGTAAAAGGCTTCTGGGTAGGCCTCCCCATATTTTTCAGATTTGGATCTTAAAGTTAGTTGCCAAAAACAGTTACATCCACATGACCACAAGGGTAATATTCCTAATATTATACACTCTGTTGAAATGCAACAATCATTTAAAGCTCAAGGGACAAAGTTAGGCTGGTCACATTTGGACATTAAGCATATGGTAGACTAGCTGGGCATAGTGGCTCATGCTGTAATCCCAGCACTTTGGGAAGCTGATGTGGGTGGATCACTTGAGGTCAGGAGTTCAAGACCAGCCTGACCAACATGGTAAAACCCTGTCTCTACTAGGAATACAAAATTAGGTGAGGTGGCGCATGCCTACAATCCCAGCTACTCAAAAGGCTGAGGCAGAAGAATCTCTTGAACCCAGAAGATGGTTGCAGTGAGCCAAGATCGCACCACTGCACTTCAGCCTGGGCAATAAGAGCGAAACTCCATCTCAAAAAAAATAAATAAATAAATAAAAATAAAAATGGAAGACTAGAAGAAATTTGCCAACATGCAAATAAGTTACAGAAATAGAAAAATGGCCCAATTTGATATATACTTGCTATCAACTTGGTAAAGGCAGATAACAATTATATGTTTTATTTTTATTTTTTTGAGACAGTCTTGCTTCCTTCCCCAGGCTGGAGTACGGTGATGAGATCTTGGCTCACTGCAACCTCTGCCTACCAGGTTCAGGCAAGCATTTCTCGTCTCAGGCTCCTGAGTAGCTGGGGCTACAGGCGCCTGCCACCATGCCTGGCTAATTTTTGTATTTTTAGTAGAGATGAGGTTTCATCTTGTTGGTCACGCTGGTCTGGAACTCCTGACCTCAGGTGATCCACCCGCCTCGGCTTCCCTGTGAGCCACAGCACCTGGCTAAGATGTTTTATATTCTGTATATGATTGAACCATATCTTAGGACCTACCGATTAGTACAGAGAGTAATATATTGAAGGTTCTTATAACTACATTTAAATAGGCATTTCAATTATTGATGTCTGATGTTCTGAGAATAACAATTTAAAACAAACAATGGGCCTAGCATGAAAGCCTGATTCATAGAAAGTGACAGTCAGTCCTGCTCTTTTATCTTCTTCTGTATACTATAATGGTCAATACAGGTCAAGCCTAACTTCCCCGTTTCTCAAAGTTTCCTTCTGTTATCTATCACTTATAAGTTAGATAAAAGCATGTAAGTTAGGTTAAAGCTTATGTTTGAACAATTGTCTGGTATTGCAGCCTACACTGTATGAAGTGAAAAGGCTTCAGAAACAAACTGCTTCTATAAGTACTAAAATGGAACATATTTTACCTTTCCCAATTATATGTAAATGGTACGAAAGTTATAAAACATTATATAGGAATTTTAAAGACAAATTTAGAGGGCCAAACATTGTGACAAAGACTGACTGTATGAAAAAAAACAACAATAAAAGGGGTACACATGGACGGGACTAACATTTAAGCCCCTACTGTATTAGTTAAGTTATGCTCATTTAATCTTCTAACAACCTTGAGGTAGGCAGTACTGCACTCATTTTATAGATAGCGAAAACAGACCCAGACAACTTGTGCAAGATCAGCTAGCAATGATTATCCCCAATCTGTCAGACTCCAAGGTCTGTTTCCTTTTTATTATATCCCCAAACCTAATTCTTCATGGTATCATACCAGAAACAACGTGCCAGAATATCTACTGATTCATTGGCATTCTTTACTTACTCCTCTGATAACTTTGCCTACTCCGACCTTAAAACTTAAAGGCTTGGCATTTTTCTTCTTCTTTGCACCTGTAAAACAGATTTTCCTTATAATTAATGATATACTCTATTATTAAGAAATTAAGTTCCAATGAAAAAGTATAGTGGTTTGATTTCAGAATTACAATACTATGTATTTAAAAGAAAGAAAAATTTACAAAGCCAGATCATCCATCGATAAAATTCTAGCTGTAAAAATAATTATATTCTTATCAAAGGGTAGTGGGTAGGACCTATGCTTATATCACAAAACAGCATACTATCCTCCTTTTCTATTCAAATACTAAAGCCTTACTTTGGGACATTAACCAGGTTTATACTGAGACTCCTTATTTTTTGCTTTCCAATGAACAAGAGGTCTTTAGCCAGCCAATCAGTGAACTGAAGACCTCTTCCAAGTGTTCTTGGGGGAAAGTACATCTGGATAAAAGTAGGTCACAGTTAAGAAAAAGGCTAACTACTCATCTATCTGCCACCCAAGTATTTTGTAATGTCTTTAAAAATAGAAGATTACATTTAGACTTACTTGTTTGAATATTAGTATCAAAAACAGTCCCATCTTGTAGTGTTCCTGTATACCAGCAGTGAACAACATCTCCCTTTTTGGGAAAATTGGTTTTATCTCCCTTTTTCAGAACAGATTTTGTATATTTTGGTGGACCCTAAAAACAAAAAACATACACACAGTTATTAATTTGTGTCTTTTAGAAGAATGACAAACAATAGCCAGCAATGACCAAAGTCAGTTTAAAGAGTTTGATGGATTTGGTAATAAACTGTTTCCATCTAGTCCACCTGTATAACTTAAAAAACAAACAAAAAAACACTTCAGTGTCTCATTTCAAGGCGATATGAATATCAGTAACTTAAATATCTATAATTTAACTTCAAAAAACTTCTAGCTTCTTTGGAAGCCAAAATTCTTCTAACAAGATTGTTAATTATTCAGCAAACCATAAAATGATTTCAGTTATTTTCCTAAAGTTTTTTAAAAAAATTACTATTTAATTTTTCTAAAATCATAAGGAATTAAAATAAGGGATGGTAACTTCCCCCCACAAGGATTTGAACTGTTTTAGCAGCAATAATTGATATTACTAGGTGTTTTTATTATATCCAATTAGAATGAATACAGTGATATTGCCTGTGTCCCTGATTTGGAAAATAAGTTCACACAATGGATGAAATTACCTAAAGAAACTGCCATAACAGGCATATTTCCTAGAACAAAGCAGAATTATCAGGGTCTTCTAAAAAAAAAAAAGGTTACAGATTAATTTTTATCAATAGTAATTCATATATGAGAGGAGAGCAGAGAGATTAACTGTCAAGAATCTAAGGAGGTTAATTTAAAGAAAAAGGTGGACCAAATTTAAAAGTATCCTCTTTACCTAAATCTATTTGGTTTCTGAATTCAGACCAAATTCAGAGAGATCTGCATTATCCAAATCTGTATGTGGTTTCTAAATTTCATAAAATAAGTAACAAAGTTGTGGCTGGATATCAAATATTTCAAATCTATTAGTTCCTGAGTTTGAAAAACAAGAGAAACTGTGTTTTCTTTATTCCTGATCTATTTCTAATTGGGCAAGTTATGCAAACTTTTATTCACTTTCACTACCCTAGCTAGGATTTTTATTCTTTTCCAAAACTTGTAAGTAAAAAAAAATCTGTACTGGGTGCAGTGGCTCAAGCCTGTAATCTCAGGACTTTGGAGGCCAAGGCAGGCAGATCAATTGAGGTCAGGAGTTCGAGACCAAGCTGGCCAACATGGTAAAACCCCATCTCTCTTAAAAATACAGAAATTATCTGGGTGTTGTGGCATGCACCTATAATCTCAGCTACTTGGGAGGCTGAGGCAGGACAATCACTTAAATCTAGGAGGCAAAGGTTGCAGTGAGCCAAGATGGCGCCACTGGGCAACAGAATGGGACTCCATCTCAAAAAAAAAAAAAAAGTCTGATCTCCTTGCAAAATAGTCTACCTCTTGACAAAAGATTCTCTCCCTCATCAAACTCTAGCTAGGCTCCTCTGAGCCCTCCTCTCCACAAGGCCTCAACCTTGGCCTATAAAGATTTGAACAAATACAAGTGTCAAATAGCTCAAGGCCTTATTCCTAGGAGGACCCGATCCCTCCTTAAAGTGCCTGCCTAAGAAAACTTAAGGCTGCCAAAAAAATTTACTGTTTGTTCCAGGCAACACCTGAAAATGAAGAAAGGACCGTCTCTCAGTCTCTGTGGGAGCCTAACGCTGATAAGCACCAGTTAGCAAACTCAGATAGGTTTCATACGGATCAACTCCCACTTCCTGCTTTTTGTAATTTTTCGCTTCCCTAACTTAAATCCCTCCCTACTCCCTCATTGTTTTAAAAGACCCAGTTACCTCTCCATAAATGAGATAGTTCAGCTCTTTCCCCTACTGTCAATAGGCTGAAAAAAAAAAATCTGTTTTTACCACTTTAATGTCCAATTGTGTTTATCTCTGACACCTTCAGTCCTCTACTCAATTGCTAGAGTGATGTTAATTACTGCTTATAGTTCTACGTCCAAAGGCCTAAACCATGCAGGATCTTTTTTTTTTTTTTTGAGACGGAGTTTTGCTCTTGTTACCCAGGCTGGAGTGTAATGGCGCGATCTCAGCTCACCGCAACCTCCGCCTCCTGGGTTCAGGCTATTCTGCCTCAGCCACCATGGAGGATCTTAATCTATCCCTCCCTGAAGCTCCGGAATTCTACTGCCCTATGAACTCCTGTCTCTTCCATGACCTTCTCAGTAAAGCAGGTGCATATAGCATAGAAATATTTCAATCGGCCAGGCGCAGTGGCTCACACTCCTAATCTCAGCACTTTAGGAGGTCCGGGTGGGTGGATCACCTGAGGTCAGGAATTCAAGGTCAGCCTGGCCAGCATGGTGAAACCCTGTCTCTACTAAAAATACAAAAACTGGCTGGGTGTCGTGGTGGGTACCTGTAACCCCAGCTACTTAGGAGGCTGAAGCAGGAGAATTGCTTGAACCCCAGAGGCAGAGGTTACAATGAGCCAAAATCTTGCCACTGCATTCCAGCCTGGGTAACAAGAGTGAAACTGTCTCAAAAAATTTTTTCAATAATTTTTTTCCTTTTTTTTGAGATGGAATCTTGCTCTGTTGCCCAGGCTGGAGTGCAATGGCGTGCTCTTGGCTCACCACAACCTCCACCTCCCGGGTTCAAGCAATTCTGCTGCCTCGGCCTCCCAAGTAGCTGGGATTACAGGTGTGCACCACCACATCCAGCTAATTTTTGTATTTTTAAGTAGAGACCAGGTTTCATCATGTTGGTCAGGGCTGGTCCCGAACCCCGGACCTCTTGATCCGCACGCTTCAGCCTCCCAAAGTGCTGGGATTACAGGCGTGAGCCACCACACCCGGCTTTTTTTTTTTTCCCCTTTTTTAAGAGACACGATCTCATTGTTACTGAGGCTGGAGTGATCACACCACTGTAGAATATCTCAATATTTTACGATAGTGGCTCACTTATAGGCTCAAGCAATCCACCTTCCTCAGTCTCCCAAAGTGCTGGGATTACAGGCGGGAGCCACTGTGCCTGCTTAATAATATTTCAAGAGCATAAAACTATTCTTGTCTGTAAGGGAGCAATGAAAAGGAGAATGGCGTAAGATAAGGCTAGAAAAATATGTAGGACATGTTAAGAGTCTGGGTTTTTATCTTTAGGACATTAGCCAATTAAGAGTTTAAATAGTTTCAGAATCAGATCTGTGTTTATTTTATTTTTTAGACCAAGTCTCACTCTGTTGCCCAGGTTAGAATGCAGTGGTGTGATAATCAGCTTACTGCAACCTCTGCCTCCCGGGTTCAAGTGATTCTCCTGCCTCAGCCTCCTAAGTAGCTGGGACTACAGGCATAAGCCACCACACTTGGCTAATTTTTGTATTTTTAGTAGAGATGGGGTTTTACTATGTTGACCAGGCTGGTCTGGAACTCCTGACCTCAGGTGATCTGCCCACCTCCACCTCCTAAAGTGCTGGGATTACAGGTGTGAGCCACTGTGCCTGTTTTAAATAGATCACTGTGACTGAAATATAAAAAATGACTTGGGAATCAAATGTAGAAGTGGAGAGACTTGTTAGGAAAAACAACTAGTAGTCTAGGTCTAGACCAGGGTGCTAACAGTGACAATGACAAACGATGAATGGCTTTGGGATATATTTTGGAGGCAGAATCACCAGAAGTTGGTAATGACTACATATGAAGAAGTTATCAAAGATGAAGTTATCAAATTTTTGGCTTGGGTACTTTTATACTCATTTCTAGTTGCTAAGTGGGAGCTTCTATCCCACCTTATATTTTCTCTCCTGTACGATACTCATTCATACCTTGAAAATCTTCCTATTTAATATATAATAGACAATATATGGACTATGACTGATTTAAAAGTCCAGTAAGATGTATTAGACGAGTCTTTATATTAAAATATATAAGGTAGAAATAATCCAAATACAGTGTGCTTAGGAATTTATGCAGTTATGTATGTATACAGCAAAGTCTCACGTGGTAAAAACTTCAGAGGAAGCAATGAGCCCATGAGCTGGGTCTTCACAGGAGCACAGAACTGACAAATAGGAAACTAAAAAGACACTCTAAGGAAGAAATAAAATATGGAGGCAGGAAAGGGCATGATTTAGTAGACAATGAGCAGACATTTGTGGTCAAATAAAATTTTTTTTTTTTTGAGACAGGGTCTTACTCTGTCCCCTGGGCTGTAGTACAGTGGCACAATCTTGGCTCACTGCAATTATGGCTCCTAGGCTCAGGATCCTTCCTGCTCAGCCTCCTGAGTAGTTAGGACTATAGGCACACACCACCATGCCCGGCTACGTTTTTTCGTAGAGATGGGATTTGGCCATGTTGCCCAGGCTGTTGAACTCCTGGGCTCAAACGATCCACCTGCCTCAGCCTCCCAAAGTGCTGGGATAATAGGCGTGAGCCACTGCACCGGGCCAAGAATATGTCTATAGAAACATGGAATATGGAATTCAGCAGTGGCCACATTTTGAAAGGCTCTGAATGCCAAGAATGAAATATTTGGATATATATATATATTGAAGACCAGTGGTGACTAATAAAAATGAGACTAATACAAATGTAATTTTAAGTTGTCTAGTGGCTGCACTTAAAAATGTAAAAAGAAAGGGATGAAGTATGTCTATGCCAGGCAGTGGTATGCCTGTAGTCCCAGCTATTCTGAGGCAGGAGGATTGCTGGAGCCCAAGAGTTCGAATCCAGCCTGGGCAACACAGCACAATCCTGTCTTTTTTTTTTTTTTTTTTTGAGACTTGAGTCTCACTCTACTGCCCAGGCTGGAGTTCAGTGGTGCCATCTCAGCTGACTGCAACCTCTGCCTTCTGGGTTCAAGCGATTCTCTTGCCTCAGCCTCCCGAGTAGCTGGAATTACAAGTACGTGCCACCACGCCCAGCTAATTTTTGTATTTTTAGTAGAGACAGGGTTTCACCATGTTGGTCTCAAACTCCTGACCTCAAGTGATCCACCCACCTCGGCCTCCCAAAGTGCTGGGATTATGGGATTACAGGCACGAGTCACCATGCCGGGCCAACCCTGTCTTAAAAAAATAAAAAATTTTAAATGAAAAATATGTCTTATTTAAACTAAAACATCCCATATACCATCATTTCAATAAATAATATAAAAATACTGAGATATTTTACAATCTTTTTTTTTTTTTTTTTAAATGACTAAATCACACTTTTGAAACCGAGTACATATTTTACTGTTAAGGCACATTCCAGTTCAAAGTAGCTAAAGCACTCTGCAGCCACATCTGGCTAGTAACTACCATACTGAACAGTGCAATTCTAGACAGCACAGAATTATTGAAAAATTTTCAGTAGGCTGTGATTTGCAAAGTATTGTTTTAGAAATCTTATTAGAATACCCATTTTGAGGCTGAATGGATAAAGAAAGAGAAGGGACGCAAGAGAGGAACAACATTTCTAACATTCCAGATCTGAGGTCTTGCTTAGAATGCTTGAAAATGAGGGAAAAAAAATGAACATTTAAAATAAAAGAAAGATGTCCGATAGTGTTAGTCCTGAAGGAGACATGAGAAAAAAAAAGTGAGACAAGGATTCAGATAACTTTTTAGCTGGGAAGAAGGGAATGGCAATAGCTAGACATTCACATTTTGGTAAAAGAGAACACAGCAGCATATAACGAGAAGGGAAGCCAGGCACAGTGTTTCACGCTTGGAATCCCAGTACTTTGGAAGGCTGAGGTGGGCACGTAACTTGAGGTCAAGAGTTCAAGACCAGCCCGGCCAACATGGAGAAACCTTTCCCTACTACAAATACAAAAATCAGCCAGGCGTGCTGGCACATGCCTGTAGTCCCAGCTCCTGGGGAGGCTGACGCAGGAAAATCACTTGAACCCAGGGAGTGAAGGTTGCAGTGAGCCTAGATGGCACTACTGCACTCTAGCCTGGGCAACAGAGCAAGACTGTCTCAAAAAAAAAAAAAAAAAAGGTGAGTAAGAATTTGTGAGAAAATGTCAAATACTTTATGTGAGCAATGCGCAATGTGATAGAGAATAGGGCAATGTGATAGAGAAAAGGATAGCATAAATGTTGTTGAGTAGCAATGAAACTAAAAAACATGCTTGGCTAATATTAAGCATGAGTTTATACCAAGCTCAATAAAAGGTTTTATGATTATGTGTTTCTAATGCCTGCTCTCTAGTCCCAAAGCATGAAGACAGAGTAGACAATAAGGGTTAGCAAGGGAATAGACGAGGCTTTTGAATCTAGGGAGCTAGGAAAACAGACACAGTACATAATTGGGCTCAAGCTGGCCAGTTAAATGAAGAGGTTTTAAATAAAATGATATAGTTTAGGACCCTCATAAGATCTCCCTGGATTGTCTCTAGCTCTTATGAACTTACCATTTAGTTTATTTGTAACTTCTTTTCTTAACTCCTTAATGAAATACTATCTGTCTCCTAAAACCACCCTCATTCTAATTTTCTGGAAGGCAAACTATGTTGCCAGTTGCTTCTGAAACCCTTCAATAATGATTGCTCCATTTACCTTAGTAGCTAGTTATTAGATAAAAGATTTATCAACTATTGTGATAAACTTAAAAAAAAATTTTTTTTTAATTTTTAATTTTTTTTGAGACAGAGTTTTGCTCTTGTTGCCCAGGCTGGAATACAATGGCGTGATCTCGGCTCACCGCCTCCAGGTATAAGCGATTTTCCTGCCTCAGCCTCCCAAGAGCTGGGATTAAAGGCAGGCACCACCATGCCCAGCTAATTTTATATTTTTAGTAGAGACGGGCTTTCTCCATGTTGGTCAGGTTGATCTTGAACTCCTGACCTCAGGTGATCCGTCCACCTCAACTTCCCAAAGTGCTGGGATTACAGGCCTGAGTCACCATGCCTAGCAATTGTGATAAACTTTAAAATTGCTTTCTATGCACATACACCCACAATCATTAATTTGTGCTTTTTAGCCAGTAGGAAAAAAATCATACAAAATTAACTAGCTTTAATAAAATAAGGATCTATAACTGTATAACTAAACTTATACTTTCCACAAATATCCAAAAACTACACTGTCATCAATAGGCTACACCTGTTTACAAGAACTAACGATAGATTATTATCACTGATACCAAGACTGCTAGCAATGAGTGAGCCAATGAGTAAGCTTAGATAGTTACATATGATCAGAAATGACAAGATTATAATCTATTCAGTTCTGCTAAGTCAGTTCTTAGCAGCTGATCTTAGCTCTACTAAAGCTGTCAATTTGTAGAAATGAGTGAATCTGCTTCTTTAAACCTTTGTACCAAAATATAAAACCTGAGTTGGGAAAGCTGAGACAGATGAACCCACATCCTGCAGCCAAGCCTGGATTATTTCTATTGCCAGGGACATCACGTACATTAGAAACAGCTAAAAATAATCAAAAGAAAGTTTATTTCACTTAGTCCAACTTGGCTATAGAATCAAGATCTTAAAATAGCCTCAAAAGCTCAGAAGGTCTGGCCACCTATGGCAGCAATAATAAATACAATGTCAGAAGTATTTCACACGATAGGCTAACAACTGTAAAGCACTAGTTCTTAGGATTATTTCTGTCCTTAAGGGAAATGGCACACTCCAACTAACTGTTTGGCTCATTGAAAGTGGTCATACTCAACCACCCTTCACTATGAGAAATTAGTGCAAATTAAAATAAAGAAATAAATACAATTTCCAGAATCCACATGATAAAAAAAGAAAATAGGATATACAGACCTCATCCAGAGTCTCTTCAGACTTGGTTTCTTTGGGTTTATCTTCATTAAGCTTCACATTTTTTACTTGCTCAGACACTTTACTTATACTTTCAGTGCCCTTAAAACGCTGTAAGGAAAATGTTCTAACATCATATTCAGGACAGGCAAAAGCCAAGGAACAACATCAAGATTTTCAGCCTCTCAATTAAATGAACATCTGCACAATAAATATAGGTTATATAATACAATTGTGAATAAATGGTCTAAGGAAACTAAGAACAAAGAAAAAATTTTATTCATAATTTATTTTTAAACATAAATTATTACTTTCAAACCAGCTTACAATATAAATTCTGAAATGAGAACCATGACATTAGAAAGGCCAACTCATATGCAGAGATATAAATACTACTCAAATAACTCCTTAATAAAGATTGTTTTTCTGTGGAAGATACTCATTTCATGGTGAACAAATATGGGAGAATATCTTAAAATTTATTTTTGTAAATGGTCAGCCTAAATCTAAACCAGACTTTAAATTCATTAGTAAAATGGAAACTTATTTTCTATATAACATTTAATATATATAATAAAACAAAAAAATTTAATATACACTATATGCTAAAGTAATATGGAAATACCACTGCCCTAATGAATTTATAACTTTAGTGGCCTTAAGAATTTTTTGTCTCAATTTAAGCTACAAAATCCAAACCCTTTGAAAATAATAAAACATTCTGCCATATTGCTGATTAGCCTTGCTAGATTTGACAGCTAGTCCACTTATAACAGTTCAGAAAAATTGCAGATGGAGAAGCTCCAACACATTCAGCAAATAAATGCATTTTAAACATCTTTTAGGAAATAAAATTTCAAAAGTGATGTTCTGCTAACAGAATCTAACAATACTCACCTTAGTTTCAAAAAGATGGTTATAGGCTGTAACCAAGTGGTCCTTGTTAGCGGTCTTGGCCACATTTTTAATGTTTCCTAATAATTTATGTTCTGCAAGAAACTATAAGGGAAAAAGCTGGGTAATCAAGATAACTTATCTCAAGTAAGAAATGTCTAAAATTAGAAAATGACCCTTTTATGTTAGCAGTTGTATTTTCAATAGTACTAATAAGGAAGAAGAAATAAAACCTATAGTTTATACTCTATTTCATTACAAAAAAATGTAAGACAGATTTTTAAAAATTGAATATTTATCAGAATTATTCACAAGACTGGAACTGCAGTGTTATGTACTGGACAGAGGGTTCGTCTTAACCTTTTCCCAGTCACGCAGTCACAAAAAATAACATTTATACAGCAAGCACACTGTGGTGACTTGAGGCAGCTGCTCACTGTAGGAGGATACTTGGGTGCAGCCTTTGAGAGCCTCCAGCCAGGTTGGGCATAGCTATCCTGAGGCATCTGTAACCTATTCTTGGCAGACTAGTATAAGCAGGTTATACAAGCAGGTAACACAGATATGTTGAGGTAACTATGCCTAACATTACACACACACACACACACACACGCACACACACACACACTGCTAAGTGTATGGGCTGTGGAGTCATATCACCTAGGTTAAAATCCTACCTCTTTGGGCCAGGTATGGTGGCTCACGCCTGTAATCCCAGCACTTTGGGAGGCCAAGGCCAGCAGATCGCCTGAGGTCAGGAGTTTGAGACCTGTCTGGCCAACATGACGAAACCCCAACTCTACTAAAAATACAATTAGCCGGGCATGGTGACATATGCCTGTAGTCCCAGCTTGGAAGGCTGAGGCAAGAGAGTTGCTTGAACCTCGGAGGCAAGACGTTGCAGTGAGCCAAGATCGCGTCACTACACTCCAGCCTGGGTGACAGAGTGAGACTCTGTCTCAAAAACAAAAAAAAAATCCTAGCTGTCTGATACTACGAAGGTGACTACTCCTGTCTAAGCACTCAGCCTCGCCAGGCGTGGTGGCTCATGCCTGTAATCCCAGCACTTTGGGAGGCTGAGGTGGGTGGATCACCGGAGCTCAGGAGTTTGCTACTAGCCTGGGCAACATGGTGAAACCCTGGCTCTACTAAAATGCAAAAACTCAGGTGGACATGGCAGTGTGCGCCTGTAATCTCAGCTACTAGGGAGGCTGAGGCAAGAGAATCGCTCGAACCTGGGAGGCAGAGGTTGCAGTGAGCCGAGATTGTGCCACTGCACTCCAGCCTGGGTGACAGAGTGTGACTCCGTCTCCCAGAAAAACAAAACAAAAAAACCACAAGACTCAGCCATATCTGTAGTGGAAGATTAATAATAGCATCTATGTCAAACAGTTGCTATAAGGATAAAAATGGTAACAATCCATTTGATGCATTTAGAATAGAGTCTGTCACACAGTAAGAGTCTCCACCTCTTGGGTTCAAACAATTCTCCTGCCTCAGACTCCCGAACAGCTGACATTAGAGGCGCCCACCACCACACCCAGCTAATTTCTTTTGTATTTTTAGTAGAAATGAGGTATTGCCATGTTGGCCAGGCTGGTCTGGAATGCCTGGCCTCAAGTGATCTGCCCCCTTTGGCCTTCCAAAGTGCTAGGATTACAGAAACGAGCCACCACGCCTGGCCAAGACTACGGATTTAAAAGATTACTATGTTATAAAAACATTTTGATAATCCAAGTCTGTTGAAATTGTCCCAAGTGGCCCCGTTTTACATTCGATTCCACATTGGCATGATTTGTTTCATAAGACTATGATGAAGTACAGGACTAGGGGATTAATAAATGTTCATGATATGTCTGTTGTTTCAGATGAAATACTAATTGGCTTAAGAAAAAATAGTTCCATTAAAATGAGGTAAACTCCCCTATACACGTTCTTTCTTTTTCGCTCTTGTACCTCCAAACATTGAGAATAGGTTTTGTTACAGATGTTGTATTAATATTTACTACATGAACCTAAGATGCGAATGCCAGAATAATGATTCAGGAAGGAAATGGAAGTTGGAGAGTTCTTTTTTTTTTTTTTTTGGAGACGGAGTTTCGCTCTTGTTACCCAGGCTGGAGTGCAATGGCGCGATCTCGGCTCACCGCAACCTCCGCCTCCTGGGTTCAGGCAATTCTCCTGCCTCAGCCTCCTGAGTAGCTGGGATTACAGGCACGCGCCACCATGCCCAGCTAATTTTTTGTAGTTTTAGTAGAGACGGGGTTTCACCATGTTGACCAGGATGGTCTCGATCTCTTGACCTCGTGATCCACCTGCCTCGGCCTCCCAAAGTGCTGGGATTACAGGCTTGAGGCACCGCGCCCGGCCTGGAGAGTTCTTATATCGCCTGTCAAGACGCCCATCCAAAATGAAAATAAAATACAATCTCCTCAAAATAACCCAGAAAAGGGCCAGGCGCTGTGGCTCACGCCTGTAATCCCAGCACTTTGGGAAGCCGAGGTGGGTGAATCACGAGGTCAGGAGTTCGAGACCACCTTAGCCAATATGGTGAAACCCTGTCTCTAGTAAAAATACAAAAAAGTTAAGGCCGGGCGCCGTGGCTGAAGCCTGTAATCCCAGCACTTTAGGGGGCCGAGGCGGGCGGATCACGAGGTCAAGAGATCAAGACCATCCTGGCCAACATGGTGAAATCCCGTCTCTATTAAAAAACAAAAAAAAATTTTTTTTTTTTTTTAAAAGAAAATACAAAAAAGTTAGCTGGGCGTGGTGGCGTGCACCTGTAGTCCCAGCTGCTTGGGAGGCTAAGGCAGGAGAATCGCTTGAACCCAAGAGGCAGAGGTTGCAATAAGCCGAGATCACTCCACTGCACTCCAGCCTGGGTGACGGCTCAACTCCAGCTCAAAAATAAAACCCAGAAACAATTTTTCTAAATTGAAGTTTGGAATTTTTAAAATTGTATAGAAAACACAAGCAGTCTGCCCCTTGCAAGAGGAGAATGCGGCGTGCACAACTATCTCAGCAATTTAAGAGACACATGAATGATCTTATTTCCAAAGAAAAAAAAATGACAAAAATAACTTCACTATAGACGGATGGTTAAGATGGAAACTATGCTGACAATGGAGAGCATACAGTATAAAGAATTCCAAATTTCTTAATCTGTTTCTAACAATGGGAGACTACTGCACAAGAGAAATGTGCACGGAGCTCCCTTCAAGTATAAAGGTGAGAAGGTCATTTAAAGGGTCGATATGTTAAACCAAAACTTAAACCACAACATATGGATTTTTAAAAAATCACTCGCATTAATGTTAAGTATTTAGTAAATCGTTGAGAAAAGCCAAGTTGGATATCCCTTCCTATTTCCCTAGTAGCCGGCGCCCCGCTCCCAGGAGTCTCATCCACACCACTATTCCTCGGCCTCCCTGCCCTAACCCCCAATATCTTCGGGTCCCTTTTTTTCTGGCCTCCACCCCTACTCAAGGATCCCAATGAGGTTCTAAACTCTACAATTGCAGCCCGTGTGCCCCAAGAAATAAAGCTGCTCCACAGTCCCAGTAGGGCACGCCGAGGGGCGGGAGCGAGGCTCTGAGGCGCACACTGGGCCGCTGCGGCCTGCCCGGCCACAGGCCGCGGGAAGACGAGGGCGGGGGCACAGAGGAATACGGAATGTATGGGCATCTCCAGGGGGGTGAGGCGTCCCTCAGCCGCACCAGCCCTGCCGCCCCTCCGCCTCCGGTACCGAATCTGAACCGTGGTCCTGCAGAAACTTGATAATGTCCTTCTTGGGCAGCTGCTCACTGCGCAGCTGCTCCACGGTCCACGCCCGCTGCGGAACAGCCGCCGCCATCTTCCCCCGCTGCCTCCGCTTTACTGAGCCAGCCCGCCGCAGTTCGGCATCGCCCCGCCCCCCGAGGCGTGGCGTGGCCCCTGACGGAGGCCAAGGGGCGGGTCACTGCTCTAGCAGTCGGGATTGGGGCCTGTCTTTGAGTGACGTCAAGGCTGTGCTATGTGGGCTGCTTTGTTGGGTCCGGGTTAAAAAACCTACCGCTTTGGTCTCAGCAGTTAACTGAATTGAAGACCGCTGGGGTTCCTTACTTCTGAATTAGATCCCTTGTGAAGCGGCCTATGATGGTAGCGACATTTATCAGCCATTACTCACTTTTATTACGTATGGCAGCTATGGCTTTAAAGCCCAGTCTATTACCTGTTAAAAGAAAAGAGCCCCTGCCGGGCGCGGTGGCTCAAGCCTGTAATCCCAGCACTTTGGGAGGCCGAGGCGGGTGGATCACGAGGTCAAGAGATCGAGACCATCCTGGT